CGTAACGCGCTGCAGTTCGTTTCGCATCTGCTCGTTCTCCAATCGCGACCGTTCAGTCGTCGCTCGCATCTCCGCTTCCATCTTGGCGATTTGCGCGAAGAGCTGCTGCGTAACGTCGTTGGTCGCCGGCGAACCCATCCTGTTCAAAAACCACGCGAGGGGGTTAATTCGAAAAGCGCGGAACTGGTACTTACCAGAAATCGGCGTCGAATTGGTCGCCCCCGGCGGTTTTTTCGAGGCGATTTTTTCCGCGACCGCTGCTTAGCCGAGAGTTGTCGAGTGAGAACGGCTCTGATTACCAAGTGTCACAGGATCGAATTCTCAATCGAAACTTGTCACTAAAACTGAATACAAGGCCTATTTATACTCAGAAAGTACAAGGATAAACGAGATAAAACGAACCTTCGGGAACACACCCTTCCCGATACTACAATCACAAGTGCGCATAAGCACGCAAGTCTATAGGCACTTGGGATTACGCCCAGATTACACCGTATACACCACTGTCGGCGCTGTCGGTGCCGTATAATAGGTATGTCGGTGGGAAAAGTAGGAAATAAGAGAAATAAATAGAAGGCTTTAGAGAATAGAATAGTAGGCCAATTGAGATGAGATAAAGACCAAAATAAAGAGGAGAAAAGGGAGAATAGGATAACGGAAAAATATAATAGTGAGAAAATATTATAATGGGGACGTCCTCTCACAAGGACGGTGTCTCCCAGTCGCAACAAAGCGAGAAAGGACGCTGAGGGGAAAGGCGAGGTCCGGCCGAGTACAAGTCATCAGGTACATGAGGCAGCTCACCAGCTCTGCGTAGGGACCACTGGACTCAAAAGGCTCGTCGGGAAAGGGGCCAGTGAGTCTGTGGTCAACAGCAAGAGGAGTGGGCTGTGTGGTGGAGAACTGGAAGTCGAACCGCCGAAGGACCTGCTGCACCATGTGTGACTGCGACAGTGTGATGGTGCGAGCGGCTCTGTCCCGGGTAATCTGCAAGCCAAGGTAACGCTGCAGCTCACCCAGGTCAGTGCACTTGTGTCTCTTCTGCAGTTCGGACTTCACCTGAGCTAGGGCTGCCCTGTCTGCTGTAGCAAACACCAAGTCGTCGACGTAGACAAGGATAAAGAAGGGAGAAGAACCCCCTCGAACAAACAGCGACGGGTCGGCGGAGGACGGGCTGAACCCAAGGTCACGAAGCGTGGAGCGAAGAGTGTCGTGCCACTCACGGGACGACTGGCGGAGACCGTAGACTGGTCGCCTCAGGCTCCACTGGGTCCCAGGAGGGAAGGTGTCAGTGAAGCTAGGAGGACGGCGCAGCCAGATCTCCTCGTGCAGTCGGCCCTGGAGGAACGCAGTGGAGAAGTCGAAGGAGTGCAGCTCGTAGTCTCGCTGCGCTGCTATGTGGAGTAACACCCGAAGAGTAGTCATCTTCGGGGTCGGGGCGAAGGTCTGGAAGAAGTCAACTCCCTCACGCTGACTGAAGCCCCTAGCCACGTAGCGCGCCTTGAACACCGGCGGTGCTCTAGGCGGCCGCTTCACCTTGAAGAGCCACATGCCATCGACTACGTTCGCCCTGGGAGGGGGAACTGCGTCGACGTAGGTGCCTGTGGATCTCCAAGACGCCAACTCTGAGTCCATAGCCGCTTTCCAGTGAGAGGCCCACGCCCCTGACACTGCCTCGCGGTAAGTGCGAGGAGTCGGTATGTCAAGGGCGTCGGGGTCTCCCTCAGGGGAGAGCAGCATGGCACACACAGAGGGAGAAGCGGCTGCCCAGTACTCCAGCTCAGACTCTCTGTCCTCTAGGACGTCACAGCCAAGGGCAAACTCACCCCCGACGGACAGAGGACGGTAGGGAGGAGCTGGCACCACGCGGTGGCGTAGTCAAGGCGGCTGGCGGCAGCAAACTCAGCGACAGCGGCAGTGAGAGCAGAGACCAACGACGGAGGGAAACGAGAGTCGGTGACAAGAGTGGCGAGGACACGTGCGACAACAGGACGAGCAGTGCGGTAGTAGTCAGTGATAGGAGTGGGGAGGGCTGGGAGAGAGGACGGAGAAGGAGACGGGAGAACGGACACAGGAGAAGGAGAACGACAACGAGACGTACAAAGGAGGGCAGTGTGGAGGTCAGTAACAGGGGACGAGTGACGAGCACGCGGAGGACAACGAGTGACCAAGTCGCGACGGACCGAAGGAGGAGGAGACTGGGGAGGAGTAGAAGACCAGACCGCCGGACGGTCGTCAGGAGGAGGCAACGGAGGAACAAACACAGGAGGAGACTGGGGGCGGACAGGAGGAGAGGAAGAAAGGCCAAGGGCCCGCAGGCCACTCACAGGTGGGAACAACTGCCGCTCCAGAGGAAGCTGCGGTGGCGGCGGCGGCTGCTGCTGCTGCGGCGTCGACGGCTGCGGCTGCGGCTGCTGCTGCTGCGGCTGCTGCTGCTGCTGCTGCTGCTGCTGCCGCTGCTGCTCCAGAAGTTCCAGTACCCGCAGCTCCTGCCGCTCCCTCTCCAACCGCTCCTGCTCCTCACGCTCACGCCGGCGGGCAGCCTGGAGACGTGTGTCGTGGCGGTGGGGAGGCGGAGTGGACTCCGCAGAACCAGGGTCAGGCTCCTCAGACTCAGCACCCCCAGAACCAGCACCTCCAGTGCCAGGACCTCCAACTCCAGCACCCCCAGAACTAGCACCACCAGTGCCAGCACCTCCAGCTCCAGCACCCCCAGAGCTAGCGCCACCTGCGCCAGCACCTCCAGCTCCAGCACCCCCAGAGCTAGCGCCACCTGCGCCAGCACCTCCCGCTCCAGCACCCCCAGAGCTAGCGCCACCTGCGCCAGCACCTCCCGCTCCAGCACCCCGCGACCGAGTACCCCCAGACCGAGCACCGCCAGCGGCTGCACCTCCAGCTCCAACACCAACCGAGTCCACAGTAACCTGTCGCGGAAGTGCCGAAGGCTGCTGAGGGGACTGTGAGGAGGACTGTGGGGAGGGAGACGCTACCTGACGCGCGACCGAGGGTAGAGGGGTAACGTGGGACACACCAGACGGGGCAGGACCAGGGGGGGGCGGGGGTACCGGAGGGGCGGGAGCAGGAGGAGGAGAGGGTGCGAGGAAAAGAGGGGGAGGGGGTACTGGGAGACCTCGACAGGGGTACCGGGTGTAGTAGGACACATACTCGTCAAACCGGACGTCACGAGAGTCTAGGAACTGGTGGAGGGGCGGGTGGTAAAAGGACCAGTCGGCAGAGTCCACTAGGAAACCAAGACACAGGGGACGGCGCGTGCCGAGAGCTTGTCCGCGGAGGTGTCGCGAACAAGCGCAAGGCAGCCCCAGACTCGAAAGGCCGACCCGACACCAGGGGAACCAGTCCAAAAACTGGTCGGTGAAGCCTCGGGCCGCGAGACACGCGGCTGGAGGTTCAGCTTGTGTGCGGCGTAGCGAACCGCGTGAGGCCACAGAAAATGGGGCGCACGGGCATGGATCATGGACGTGCGGGCGATGTCCATGACCAAGCCTATGCGGCGCTCAGCAACCCCTGCGTCGGGGCAGGGCCCCAGACGTCCAAGTGGAGAGTCTCGAAGGGAGCGGTGGCCGGACGAAGGGAGGAGGAGTGGGGAGTGGCGCGTAAGCGACCGGCGACGCACGGAGAGCAAGGAGGGGCAGGCGAGAGAGGGAGCGACGGGAAGGTGCGTGGGAGACCTGAGACAAGTCCCTGACTGAGCATGCTACGTAGGCGAGGGAGCGACGGGTGGCCAAGGCGGTGGTGCCACAGTCCCGTATTTGAATAAGGGAATGTACCCCTTAGAGTACATGGTTAGCTAGGTCGATTCATATTCCCCTGTACTCTTATTTATATCGTTGTATTTGCGAATCTTAATTATCTCTGCTATTGAGGTCAAGGGCCCACCAACACCACTTCTCTGCATGCGAACCTTCCTGAGTAGATCCTAGGCCACGATCAACTCTGATCGCAGCAACACGCAGTTTGGCTTGGGGGGTTATGGGCGCACTTACCCGCTACACAAACAAGCCCTTTTATCCCAATGGTCTAGTGGTTTGGATTCTGACAAGTTTCTCATCATTGCATGGGGTGACCAATCACAGGGTTGCAGCATAGCAATGCTGGCAGTGTGCGTTGTGAGAGCTTTTTGCACCTGTTGTCGTGTGGCACGTTTTGTCCAGGTCGTGCTGGCACCCTCTCTCTGCTCTGCTGTTGCGCCCATGCTTGCAAGCTAGCTAGTTAGTGTGTTCTAGTTATTGAAGTGTATCAGCGGTTAGGAAATGGGGACACTGATGCATCAGGGATTTTAAGAAAGGAACACTGAACTTTCAGGGATTTTTTTTTAGAGACACTGATTATCAGGGATTCTACACAATTATTCACGTAATGCATGTCTATGATTCACTTTTAAGATTCTATGATTCTACCTGAATGTAAAATGCGTGTCCCTAAAGTTCATAGGGCACTTGTGTAGAATCCCTGATAATTAGTGTCCCTAAAGTTCATGTAAAATCCCTGATAATCAGTGTCCCTATGAACTTTAGGGACATTAATTATTCACTTAATGCATGTCTTAATTATCACAAGCATTTTACATTCATGTTCCTGCGGCCTCTTGTCAAGATTCTTGAACTTGAAAAATACCATGCTGTACTCGGGTTTTAAAAATGTCCATAATGGCGATAATCGCTATAATGCCTGCCGAACTGGGCCCAGATAGCAACATAACGTATCAGCAAACCACACGGCTCGGAGGTAAACATGCACGTTCTCAGTTCAAGGTACGTGAAAGCCACACTCAGCCCACTTAGCGTTGCAAATATGCAACGATAGCATAGTTACAAGAGCACTGGCGAAGTACCAACGATAGCACACTAGCGTTGTGTCGATTATTGTTCTTGCCGTCCATGATTTCCCATTTCCGTTCTTTCGAGATACGAAGGATCATTTGAAAGATATTGGGAAAGTATTTATATTAATAAGCTACGTCGACAAATAATTGAGGCCGTTTAGGGCTTGTGCACAATGAAGGACATGCACTGGACCTGCTTCACGTTGTCAAAACCCAGAACACGGATGAAGCAACCAGGGTAGGAAGACTTGCACTCGTTGATCTCCCTGAGCACCTGGGACGCGTCGGTGCAGCCGAAGAGGGGCAGCTTCCACATCGTCCAGTAGCGGCCATCATAGTAACCGGGGCCGCTGTTGTTTTCCCTGTACACAACACCGCTGGCATCGAACTCAATAGCGGGGACCCAGCCGTTCTTGAGCATGTACCGGATCTCCTTGACGATCATGTCGTCGGTGAGAGCGGGGAGGTAAGACAGGGTCTCGAACCGGGGGTTGCCAATGGGGTTCCACACCTGCACATTTCAGAACACCATGTGAGCACTAGATCGAATGATACCACAAGCCGTTGAATTGAACCAACTTGCGCTATACTCGAGCTGAGGAATGGGATTGAAGAACTGACCTTCATGCACGACACACGGCTGCCGTTGGAGACGGTCTTGGTGGCGAAGCCATTGGGGGTGGCGACACCAGCCTTCAGGCCGGAGAAGGACACGGACTTGGAGGAGGCAGCAGAGGCCTCCACAGTTGCCTTGAAGGCAACAGGGGCAACGACGGCGGACGAGGTGATAGCAGCCATTTTCCTTTTCTGGAGGGAAAAGGAGTAAAAGAACTTGGTAGGAAAGCTTGCACTGGTTGCTGAGACAATGAGATCTCTGGGTGTTATACCTGGTTCTGTGAAGAGTGGCGAGGGTAGAGCGGCCCGTGCCACGATCACGGTTCGTGTGGTTGGTGGTGGATAGGTTCAAGCTGGCTGTTATCCAGTAAACAGCGCCGACTAAGCAGGTCCACCCAGATGTGTGTGGAGGGTACGCTTATGTGGCAATCTCTGGTAGCGCCGATCGTTCTGATGTGGGAGGCTTACTGCCTATGTGGCAAAAATTTGCAACTTTGCAGCACACGATTGTCCACCGTGGGAAAATGCTGACATCGGCACTTCTTTTGGCCATTCGCGCCAACCACATCTGTCAGACGCAGTGGCAGTTGAGTTGCGACCTCTTCCAAAAGTTCACACGTCAGCATCTCCCGCTATAACCGGCACCTAAAAAATACCGCGCTATCGATATTCTGCAAAGTTACATCCTAAAAAGAAAGTCTGCATAAGAAATGTGGATGGGCCGCATCCCACGAAGCTCGGGTGACAAAAATGATGCAACCACCTTTTCGCCCAGCGTGACGTTGCGATGACACAGCTTTGCCAAATCGACAACCACCAAGCCCCAGGTTGAACCTATCCACGTCAGCCATACGAAATTGGATAGGAACGAGATTTATGAGTGGTCCCATCCCATCCAACATGGTACACATGGTTACCCAGAGACCAATTTCAACGAGTAAACACGCCCATCTCCTCCATCAGGGTACCTCTCCATTCGTCCTGAGGCTGATCCACCAACCAGCAAGCTGCGACACCCCCTTCAGCTTCACACCCGCCTATTTCTGATCTGGTTGGAGCTTTGCTCTGCAGTCACATCCAGGCTCATTGGTGTTCGTGGATCAACCAAGTTACACAGCCTTCTAGAGCGTTTCTACTTGGTTGTATCTTGATTGGACTTCATCTTCACTTGGTGACTGAGCTCATGGTATTCGCTGGTCGAGATATAGCCCTTTCTTAGTCAAGATATAGCCCTTTAGTCGTAATCTCGTTTATTCGGAAAATACAAGACAAGAGCAAGTGACATACAGCATGCCGACGGGCTTAGGGTTATGTCGATCAAGCATCGGAACACCTCTCTTTCCTGTTAGCGGGAACACAGCATTTTGTGACAGCCATACTGAATCCAATTTCGTTAAATACTCGTCGTCGGTTCGTCGACTAGCTTGCGTGAGTAAACGCGACAATTCTTCTTCTAGTTCAGTATGTTCCTCGCGTTACCATCACCTCACAAGCGAATCAGCAACGTTGGGAAGCTTGCACAGATTGACGCTTCGGCAGATGGACACAAACACATCCACAAGCACTCTGAAAAGGCGATCGCTGCGAGATGTAACTGCTGCCTCAGACGCGCACGGGGCACATGGCAGAATCAGCTCTTCGCCGCTTAATTTCAGGTCGCAATACTCTGATCAGAGTGCCTCCAGCAGCAGCATCGGGGGGGCTTCGTCCGATACAGGCAATTCTTCAACTGCGTCTGATAGTGCTGCTCCATCCCAAGCGCAAACGCAGCAGGAGCAGTTGCAACCACAACCGCAGCAGCAGGAGCGGCAGGATCAGCAGCAGAAGGAGCAGGTGGCTCAGGGAAAATTCTGGCGGCGTGTGAAGTTTGGATCGCTTGCTGGAGGGCTGGCTTTCGGCGCGCTGTTGATGGGGAGTTGGCTGTTCACGGTTCTTCTGACGGGAGTGGTGCTGCTCGGTACCGCGGAGTACTTTGAACTGATTAACGCGCGGGCGAAGCTGAACAACGTGGCCGTTCCTTCGCGACTGTCGGTCTACATTGGCTGCATCGGTTGCGCCATCATGCCGCTCATTGCAATGTAAGATTGTCATCATTTTTTAACGTAAACAAAAATAAGGACATAATGGAAGTGTTAGTCATTTCTATATGAGGGTGTGTTCCCGTAGCTATCGCTTTGCACATCACATGGTCAACTCTCAAGCCGATTGTTGCGACTGAGGGCAACATTATAAGAAATAAGGAGGTGTTTTCGTATCACGGGATGAAGCGTAGGCAGCGTTGGAAAGGCGCGGGTTGCAGTTATGAAGTGATCGAAAGGAAGCGGAAATTGGTTGGAGATAGAGTCTCTGATTGATTAGGCTATGGAAAAGGGGGCGTCGATGGTGGGGGAGAGAGGGTCAAGGGTCGGATTCAATGGGGTTTACAAGCTATGGAATCTTATCGTTTGAGATACGGTGGCAAGGGATCGGGGACGAACGCACGATTCTTTCACCAACGCCACGTAAGCTCACCAGGCGCAGCGTGCTCTCCGCACGCGATGCGTTGCTTGCTCCATGAGCAGCCACGTGCGTATTATTTGTTTTGCGTGATTCTGGGTTCCCCGAAGGCGCCTGAAATGCGTCGCGAAAGAAAGTAATCATTTATGAAAAAAAAGTTAGTAAATCTGGTCGGAGTATGCATCAAGGAAAAATACAAGTTGAAGCTGCCCGTACCTTGGTTAACAGCGTATGACAGGCCAACGGATGGGTGAGAATCTGATAAGCCTCCCGGCGACCATTCTCCTGAAGTGCCTCTGGAATGTCAACGAAAGTTTCTAGGCAACACTGGCCGCTTATCTCAGCTCTCTTATTTATGTGCTCCCTTCCTTCATTCATGGCAGGGTGAATGGTGGGCTTGTAACTCTGGGGGTGAAACTCGTTGGAGGCCTGTTTTTGAAGTCGACTGGAAAGTCACCTTAGCTCTTATGGTTCTCTTATCCCTTTGTTCATGGCAGGGTGAATGGTGGGCTTTTAACTCTGGGGGTGAAATTGGAGGCCTGATATTGAAGTCGACTGAAGAGTCAGCTTTGCTCTTATGATTGCCTTATCCCATCGTTCATGGCAGGGTGAATGGCGGGCTTTTGACCCCGGGAGTGAAATTCGCCGGCGGGCTGCTGCTGGCGATGCTGCTGACTCAGCCCAAGCGGCCTCGTTGGAGTCAGTTCACGGGCTACGTCTGCGGCCTCTTCTACTGCGGCTTCCTGCCCAGCTTCTGGGTCACGGTGAGCTATATTCTCTCAACTCGAAAGAGTTGACTTACAAGTAAGATTCGCCGGCGGGCCGCTGCTGGCCATGCTGTTGACTCAGCCCAAGCGGCCTCGTTGGAGCCAATTCACTGGCTACGTCCGTGCCCTCTTCTACTGCGGCTTTCTGCCCAGCTTCTGGGTCACGGTGGGCTATGCCCCCTGCGTGGATCACTGCCTTTTTGGAAGCTTCCGGTTCACGTTACGTATTGATTCTTTTTGGCCGAACTTATGGTTGGGTTTGCTGCTTCAGCAATCCCTCATCCTTTCCCGCCCCACCTCCCTCTCTCCCTCCGATCTCCTCCTCCTCTCTTCCCCCTTTGAATGTGGTATGGGCTTGTGTCTACCTCCAAAATGGCGCCATTAATGGCGTGGCTGTGGCTTTCTCTGCGGCCGGTGGGGATTGTTGCAATCGTCTTGGGCTTTCCCCTCTTGCACCTCTCCCTGTTCAAGTCTTGCCTCCCTCCTCTCACCCACTCCCCCCGCCTTCCTGCAAATCCAGCTACGGGAGTGGCTTGCCTGCGGATTGCATGGCCTGTGCCTCCCCCCGCCTCGCTTGTTTGCACCTTTCCCCTTTAAACCTTGCGTCCCTCCCACCTCTCCCTGTACTTCCGCCCTCTCTTTCCCCAACACCCCACCATTCCAGCTGCGGTGTGGGCTGGCGACTACAGCCACCACGTCATCCCCAGTGGCGCGGGTGTGGCCCGCCCTGCTGGGAGGGCCGGTGCTGTGGACCACAGGGCTGGTGGCCATCTTCATGGGCTTTGCGGGGGTCATTGCTGCCGACACCGGGGCGTATTTGGGCGGCAAGACCTTTGGCAAGACGCCTCTCAGTGGTGAGTGAGTGTGGGTGGGTGAGGGTGGGTGGTGGGAAGCAGGTCTGTGGACTGTAAGGTTTGGAATGAACGAGGAGAATGGGAAATAAAGCAGTCCATATATTTGAAAAAAACATGATCATGAATCGCAAACGTTGGTTTCCTGAACCTGTTTTCATGCGCACTTATCATTGTGAACCTGTTTTCATGTGCACTTATCATTGTGAACCTGTTTTCATGTGCACTTATCATTGTGAACCTGTTTTCATGCGCACTTATTGTTCTGAACCTGTTTTCATGTGCACTTATTATTGTGAACCTGTTTTCATGTGCACTTATCATTGTGAGCCTGTTCTCATGTGCACTTATCATTGTGAACCTGTTTTCATGTGCACTTATCATTGTGAACCTGTTGTTCGTCTGTCGCTCTCGTCTCCACCATCACCCTGTGTTCATCTGCAACCCCGACCTACACATGACCCTGCCCTATCCCACATAGTACCATACCGCCTATCTCACATCCCACCATCCCGCATGTGTCAGCCATCGCCACTCACACCTGCTGTCCTTTGTGCCCCCCAATTCCTCATGTGTCATGTACATCCATCCCCACCACTTCTTCTCCTGCACTGGTAACTGGCAGAGCTGAGCCCCAAAAAGACAGTTGAAGGGGCGTTGTTTGGGCTGGCCTCTTCAGTCTCTGTGTCCGTCCTCCTCTCCCGCGCCTTCAGCTGGCCTGCCACACCTATCAGGTGCTGTCCTGCTTTCTCATGCCGTAAATGGTTGGTTCATGTTCACATTTTGCAGCGTGACTTTTTTGCCCAATGCATACTGCTCAGTGCTGATCGTTTTGCAACATAATTTCTGTTTTTGTGATTCCTCAAGCCCCCCTCCCCTCCCCCCCCTTTCCTTTTTGGAACACGTTGTTCCCAATCACTCTTTTCCATTCTGCAGTGCGGCGGTGCTCGGTGTGATTGTCTTTGCTTCATCTCTTTTTGGTGACCTGTTTGAGTCAGCTCTCAAGCGCCAGGCCGGAGTGAAAGATGCTGGCTCTCTCATTCCGGGACATGGTGGCATTTTGGACCGCACAGATAGCTACATCTTCACAGCCCCAGCAATTTACCTTTTCATCCGCTATGTTCTTCCTAAGCTAGCGTGAGGTTGAGTATCCATGAAATACGCCAACGTTGGGTAGGGGAATGAATTTGTAGGTTGTAGAGCCTGCTGCATTCTGCTTTCAAGCACTCCTGACCCTAGGTCGATGTACATCAGGAAGTGGTATTATGGAATAAAAGCTTGGATTGGATCCTTGTAGGCATTTGCATGGATGCAGGTTTACTGTCACGTATGAAAATATATATTTAATTGGCAAATGTTCTGTAACATGCGCTGGTTCTTCGAAAGAGTACTCCCTGAGAACGAACCGAATGTCCAAGTTCGCTAGCCACAGACCTGCAACATCTTCCCAACCTTGAAATTTGCCCAGCCAAATTGAAACCTCGGGATCTCCAGCGAGTCGATTGTCACATTTCCAGCCATGTAGCCCGAAAACCGAGTCTGAATATCGGTTGACCTAGTAGGCTCCAGTTCGTTAGGAGTGTCTAATTTCCTTCGGAAACTCATCCCAGACAGACGAGAGCTTCTTCGCCGCGAGCCACGTGGATATTGAGCATGGCTGAGCGAGCTAAGAGCGTGGATGAACCCGCAGAACAGGTTGAGCAGTCAATTGGCTGTTTCTGAAAGGTAGAGAGGCCAGCAGAGAGCCTTGGTGATGGGGGGTTCGACACCGCCGGATGATCCCGAGGCAGCGAGGACGAGTCATTCAGGAGCAGATGCAGGAGCAGGGGGAGGAGGAGGAAGAGGAAGAGCATCAGCAGCATCAGCATCAGCATCAGCAGAAATAACAGCAGCAGCAACAACAGCATTGCCGTCTGGCGGAATGAACCCCTCAGCCTCTTCGAGCCGCTCCCGTCCTAATTCACGTCATGAGGTCGCAGCGGCCAATCAGGGAAGTCCACGTCACGAGATTGAGATCTCCGATTCGGAGACGCAGCCGCTGACGGGCCCGCGAACCGCCGGCGACGCCAGCGACCGACCATGCGACAGCAGGGATCGTCCTCCTCTCTCGCAAGCGCGGCGAGAAGTCAGGCGACACGACTACGTTCCTGCTCACATCAACAGAGACAGCGGAGCCGCGAGGCTCGGAGGGAGGTCCGGCGAGAGGTTCGGCGAGAAGTTCGGCGAGGAGGGCGGGTTGCTGGAGACGCTAGGGCAGGAGATAGTGGCAATCGTGACGCCCGTGTCCATCTGCATGCTGCTTGTCGTCGCGCTCGTGCTCGCGCTCACCCCGCACGGCGCGTCCGTCACAACGCCCACCATCGCAACGCTGGTGTATCAGGAAGAGAGGTATGCGCGTTGACTAGCGCGTCTCCTGCGGGAGGTACGCTCGTTGACTCCCTCACGTCTCCTGCTGAACGCGTGAGAGTGGTAGGGCTGGTTACAACCAACCACCGCATGCCCTCGTCTCTTCACACCCCCCTCCTCTCCCCCCCCCTCCCCCTCCCTCCCCTCTCCGTCCACACCCGACCAGCACGGACGCGCCCTGGCAGCGGCTGTGGGGCGCGCTGCTGAACGCAGCAGCGATGGTGGCGCTGGTGACAGCAGCCACATTCGTGCTCGTGGGGCTGTTCTACTGCGGGTGTGCGCGCTGCATCTGGGGCTACATGGGCTTCTCGGGATTCGTCATCTTTGCCGGGCTGGGCGGCACTCTCGCAGTGCAGCTCATTCAGGTGAGACTACATAGGGCTGTGCTGGTGGTGCTATGCTCATGGGGCTGTGCTGGTGGTGCTATGCTCATGGGGCTGTGCTGGTGGTGCTATGCTCATGGGGCTGTGCTGGTGGGGCTGTTCTACTGCGGGTGTGCGCGCTGCATCTGGGGCTACATGGGCTTCTCGGGATTCGTCATATTCGCTGGACTAGGCGGCACTCTGGCAGTGCAGCTCATTCAGGTGAGTCACTGTGGTACTCTGGTACTGTGGGTGTGCACGTAGCACTCTGCATGTGGGGCTACATGGGCTTGGGCTGGTGGGGCTGTGCTGGTGGGCCTGTTCTACTGCGGGTGTGCGCGCTGCATCTGGGGCTACATGGGCTTCTCGGGATTCGTCATATTCGCTGGACTAGGCGGCACTCTGGCAGTGCAGCTCATTCAGGTGAGTCACTGTGGTACTCTGGTACTGTGGGTGTGCACGTAGCACTCTGCATGTGGGGCTACATGGGCTTGGGCTGGTGGGGCTGTGCTGGTGGGGCTGTTCTACTGCGGGTGTGCGCGCTGCATCTGGGGCTACATGGGCTCCTCCGGATTCGTCATCTTTGCTGGACTGGGCGGCACACTGGCAGTGCAGCTCATTCAGGTGGGCTGTTGATCTCCCTGTCTCTTGCTGGTTCTGCTGCTGCTGCTGTGACGGGGGCGGCGGGTTGTGCACCTCTCCTGCTCCCTATCGCTCTTGTTGTGCTGCTTTTTCAGGGCAGTCCAGTCCAGTCCCTGCGTTCCACTCTTGTGCTTCATCCCTGTCTCGTTCTCTCACTCACACACACTATCCTCCTTCTCCGCCCTCCCTACCCGCACCATTTCCTCCCCGCCCCTGTCCCCCCCCACGCCTCAGCGCTTCTCCATACCCATAGACATCATCACCTTCGCTCTCCTCGTGTACAACCTGTCAGTGGTGGGAGTGCTCGCAGTCTTCTTCTGCCGAATGCCCATCTTCCTCACGCAGTCCTACCTCGTCGCGGTCGGCGCCATCGTCGCCTTCTGGTTCTCCAGCCTGCCAGAGTGGACCACGTGGATGGTGCTCATCGCCATGTCGCTTTACGACCTCTACGCTGTTCTCACACCAGGTACGCGCCTCTCGAGATCCAGACATAGCTCAGTGCAGCTAGGTACGCGCCTCTCGCACGCAGCTATGTCTGGATCTCGCTGTTCTCACACCAGGTACGCGCCTCTCGCACCTCAAACACATGCCTCTCCAAACCCTGGCAATCCCATCTCCATCTGGTTCTCCAGCCTCCCTGAATGGACCACGTGGATGGTCCTCATTGCCATGTCACTCTACGATCTCTACGCTGTTCTCACGCCAGGTATGTGCATAGCTAGACCCCCCAGGAATCCTCAGTTATATGCCTCTCCAACCCCAGGCAGTCCCTATCCTAGAGCCTTGTGATTTCTCCAGCCTGCCCGAGTGCCCCAAGTAGATTGTCCTCACCGCCATGTCACTCTATGATCTCTGCACTGCTCTCACGCCAGTTGCGTGCACATTCAGACGCCTCAGGACTCCTCAGATCAGGTATGTGCCCCTCCTACCCCAGGCAATCCCAATTTCAGCACCTTCTGGTTCTCCAGCCTGCCTGAGCGGACCACGTGGATGATCCTCATTGCCATGTCACTCTACGACCTCTATGCTGTCCTCACACCAGGTATGTGGCATTCTTCCTACACGTCTCAGAACGTCCCTGGTATGTGACTGTTCGACGCCAGGCAACACTAGCTCCTTCTGGCTCTCCAGCCAGCCCGAACGGACCACGTGGATGGTCCTCATTGCCTCATTGCCATGTCTCTCTACGACCTCAACGCTGTTCTCACACCCCTTTTCACCATAGCCATGGAGTGAGACGAGGGCATCCCAGCACTAATCCGCGGTGCAGTTTCGATTCACTCACTCACTCCCCTTCCTCCCTTTCTCCCACTGTCCTCCTTCCATCCCCCCTATTGTCCTACCCCAGTGGGCCCCCTCAAGCTCCTACTAGACATAGCCATGGAGAGAGACGAGGACATCCCTGCACTCCCCCAGTTTACTGTTTCGATTCACCTCCTTCCATCCCCCCCATTGTCCTACCCCAGTTGGCCCCCTCAAGCTCCTGTTAGACATAGCCATGTAGCGAGACGAGGACATCCCAGCACTCATCTACATGGCATGCTGCTTCAAGTCACTTATCTGTGACATACCCTTCCCCTGCTGTTTTCCCTACTCCACCCCCACTGTTCTACCCCAGTGGGTCCCCTCAAGCTGCTACTAGACATAGCCATGGAGCGGGACGAGGACATCCCAGCACTCATCTACGAAGCCAGGCCCCCACCCATGCCCTTCGCCCCTCCTCCTCCCATTCGTCCTCCTCCCCGCCTTCTCACTCCCACTCGCCCTCTCCCCTCCAGTCACTCGCTCCCCTCCGGTCCCACTCTCCCACTCCCCCCTCTCTCTCATCCCACCATGCCAACTCGCCTCGGCCATCCCCCACTCTCCTCCTCCCCCTCCTCCTCCTCGTCCTCCTTCCCGCCCTCTCTATCTCCCTCCACTGCATCTAACCCCTCTCCATCCGGCACCACATTTCGGGCTACAAACAGCACAGCTGGCACTAGTAGCGCTCTCGTCCCTAACACAGCCCTGGGACAGGCGGATGGGGGAGGAGGAAGTGGGGGGGATGGGATGACGGGTGGTGCGGTGGGGAGCGGTGCTTGTGGGTCAAGGAGAACGCGTGTGCGAGGCCAATTTGAGCGGCGGTTGCAGCAGCAGGGCAGTGGTGCGATTGGTGCTGCCAGTGGTGGTGGCAGTGGTGGTGGTGGCGGAAGGACCTTTGCTGGACAACTGAGTGCCTTTGTTGCTTCTGCTGCAGCCGCTGCTGCCACTTCTGCTCTGCGCCTCACTGCAGCTCAAGGGGGGGATGAAAGGCTGGGAGGGGAGAGAGGGGAGGGGAGGAGGGGGAGGGGGGTAGAAGGCGGGGGTGAGAGAGAGGAAGGAGAGATTGAAGGGATGCCACTTTTAAGTCGAGGAGTGGCAATCCCACCAGATGGTGCAGGAGGAGGGAGGAGTGGAGGAGAGAGAGGAGGGGAGGGGCAGCAGAGGAGGAGTGGTGAGTGGAGCGAGCATGCAGCAGACTTGAATCGCGGGGGGAGTGGAGTGCTGCTTAACGAGGTGCCTTATAACGGGGCGGTGGATCAGTCGTCTGGTAGCAGGAGCCGCCCGGGAAGCAGCAGAGGGCGGCGGGGAGGGGAGAGCGGGCGAGCAGGTAGCTCTAGGGTAGGGAGAGTGGGTCGCACACTTTCCATGCCGTCTCCCAAGCAAAGCGGATTGGTGGAAGGAGGAGGGAGAGGGAGAGGAGGGGGAGTGGGGGGGAGTGGGGAGGAGGAAGCAGTGGCGCCTGTGGTTCGAGTGAGTTTGGCTCATGGGGAGCGTGTAGAGGTGAGGGGGAGTAGGGAAGGAGTGGGGATGTTGGGAGTGCAGGAACGAGAGGGGGGGACAGGAGCAGAAGCAGAAGCAGCAGGAGCAGCAGGCAGAGAAGGAGGAGGGGGAGGAGGAGGAGCAGGAGATGTAGGAGCAGCGGGAGCAACAGCGGCAGCTGCTGCTGCAGCTGCAGGTTTGCTGGTGGGTGGGGAGGAGACAGCAGTGAGAGGGGAGGAGGAGGTGGAGCGAGAAATAGCGCGGCTCAGAGAGGTTGCCAGCCAGCACCTGCGCGAGAGGGAGAGGGAGAGAGAGAGGGTGCGGTGGCGAGGCGGGACGATCTCCCGGGCGGTATCGCTTGGACCGGAGTGGAGCATGGGGGCAGTGAGTGGCGGCATTCGGATGAGAGCCGGGCTGGAAGGGCAGATTGCAGGGATTGAGGGGCAGAGTGTGGGAGTGGAGGGTTTGCCTGGTGTGGTGGACGGGCAGATGAGAGGGTTTGAGGTGAGTGGGGGTGCAGTGGGGTGCGGAGCGGTGCCAGGCAGAGCAGATGGGTTTCCACACTCTGTTGCTGAGGGTAGCAGTCGCCCGCATAGCTTGCTTGGGTCTGGTGGGTGGGGGAGCAGAGGGGATTGTGAGGGGAGTGGGGGGTGGTCAGCTGACTTGTCCTCGGTTCGTGTGGAGGATCTGAATCAAGGTGGCCCTGCTGCTGCTGTTGCTGCTGCTGGTGCTGCCTCTGCTGCTGCTGGCGCTGTTGCTTCTGCTGCTGCTGCTGCTGTTGCTGCGGGCACTAGTGCTGGTTCTGCGGAAGCTGGTGCTGTTGCTGGTGGTGATGACGATGGTGGTGATGATGATGGTGATAACGGTTCTTCTAATTTTGCTGCTGCTGCTGCTGCCGTTGCTGCTGCTAGGGCAGCTGTTACCACAGCTGCAGGCGCATCAACGACCCTTGCTGCTACCAGTAGCCACGGCAGAGGGAAGCCTGCCGAGCCTGGCAGGGTCGGCTTGCAACCGAACCAAGAGGTGCATACTTATGCCGCTGACGACCCAGATGATATTCACTATCTGCCGAGCCCGAGCTTGGAACCGAGCAGCAGCTTCGGTCCAGACCTCCCAAGTGCCATCAAGCTTGGAATGGGGGATTTTATCTTCTATGGGGTTCTGGTGGGGAGGGCTGCTATGTATGATTTGATGACAGTGTATGCGTGTTACCTTGCAATTATTGCAGGGCTGGGCGCTACACTTGTGCTTTTGGCGCTACAGAAGCGGGCGTTACCTGCTCTGCCCATCTCGATTGGGTTGGGAGTTGTTTTCTACTTTCTGACCCGCCTGCTGCTTGAACCGTTTGCTGTTTCAGTTGTTACAAACTGCTTGTACTTTTGATACTGGATCCAGTACGAGATTCTGTCTTGGGGAAATGTGTGTAATGTATTGCCAGTTTATTGCCAGACCAATGTGATGGGATCATTCTCGCATCTCAACCTGGCTGACCCACTAGCCATACGAGGTTATAAATAACCCACTTGCGAAGGCATGGAAGTGCATGATTTTGTGTGAGGAGGTATGTGGGGAGGCCCCGAGCGCATGAATGTGAATGCTTAATTTTAAACCCCCCCCCCCCCCCTCGTAAAATGTTGGGCTGAGGTGCCCTAGGATCTTTGTAGAGTTAAAGTTTGAGTAGGATGATGTAATAGCGGAAGCGTTGAATAAGAAAGCCTTGAACCACCTTGCGCTGGTATGTGAGGGCAAAGTAAGTTGATTAAAACAGGCAAATACAAAGCTTTATATAAGAGTACAAGGAATACGAATAGATGTAATTAAACTACCTTGCTGTTGCGATTCGATACAGTGCGACTCGGGCAACTGCTCAATGTCGAGTCAGTTGTGTGTCCTTGCTGTCGCGCTGTATTGGTCAAGTCAAAGGTCGCTGACCTTTGACCTTCCCGTAACCTTCAGGCGGTTACCCTAACCTCCGAGGGTTGACTCGCGATGCTTCGATTTGGACTTCTTCGCTTTGTGTCCTGAGTTTCGACACGACAGAGGCGCTTAAGACTTATTGTTCCCAACACTCCCCTTCGCTTTTGGAGTGTCGCTGATGGTGACGTGGCCTTGTCCGGTCAGCATCATGCAGTACTCGAACTTCTGTTTTCCGAGTTTCTTGGTCAAATAATCGGCTGCCATCTCGGACGTGGGACAGTAGGATGATTCGAGTTTCCCTTTCTCGATCTCGTCCTTCACAAAGAAGTATCGCAGAGCGATATGCTTCGTTGTGTTCGCGAATCCGCTTTTGTTGGCGATGCGAATTGCGGATTGGTTGTCGCAGAATAGGGTGAAGTTGGGTAACTCGGCTAACTTTGCTTCTTCCAGCAGCTCGCGAAGGTAGAGTCCTTCCTTGGTGGCTGAACAGAGGGCGATATATTCTGCTCCAGCTGAAGAGAGAGCGATTAGTTCCTGCTTACTCGACTGCCAGGAGATAGGTCCGATAGGCTCTAGACGATAGACGTAGCCAGTGCGAGAGCGCCTGTTATCTGAATCGCCGGCATGGTCGGCATTGACGTAGCCGATTAGTTTCGTTGACGTAGCTTCGCTCTTGTAGTAAGTCAGGCCGATCGTCGGCGTGCTCACGAAATAGTGCAGTGCGCGATCGAGCTCCGCCAGGTGCTCTGCTTCAGGTTTCTTGAGGTAGGTAGCGAGTTGGCTTGCGGAGTAGGATAGATCCGGGCGACAGGTGACGGCTGCGAAGAGGAGGCAGCCCAGTTTCCTCTGGTAGTCTCGTATTCCGGCAGCTTTGAGTGGAGCGGAATTTCCTTTGTCATCTCCTGCCGTGTAGCGGTATGGCGTGGCGATAGCGGTAGGTGTGAGCGAAAAACGCTTGGCGATCGTGTCGGCGTATTTCTCGGCGCTTAGATAGATCGCATTTTCTTCTTCGCGGATGTTGAGCCCGAGGTACTGCGTGACGGTAGAAGAGACCGTGAGCGTGAGGTCCTTCTGCAGCTCCCCTTCGAACCAGGTGGTGACGTCGTCGGTGGAGCCGATGTAGAGCAAGTCGTCGACATAGACTATCAGCAGGATGTAGTCTGCGTCTTTGGTGAGTCGGTACATCCCTTGGTCGTGAGGTACTTGACGAAATCCGATGCGAGTAAGGTGGGTGTGTAGGTGCTGTTGCCACAGCCGCGGTGCTTGTTTGATTCCGTAGAGAGGTTTCAGTAGCTGACAGACCTGATTGGGGTTTCCGTGGGTACCGTGTGGGAGTTCGACGAAGATTTCGGCGTCGACGGGTGCGTAGAGGAATGCATTGGCGACATCAATTTGTCGCAGCTTCTTCTTCTTCATGGCGGCGACGGCGAGAAGGATTCGGAGAGAGGTATGTCGACTGACTGGGGCGAATGTCTCGGTGAAGTCTCGTCCTTGCTCTTGGTCGAATCCACGCACGACCCAGCGTGCTTTGAATTTCTCGATCAAGCCGTCTGCTTTCGTTTTGATGCGGAAGACCCATTTCCCGGTGAGAATAGTCTTGTTCCTTGCCACGCTTGCGGGAACGACCTTCCAGGTGTTGCGTTCCTCCAATGCCTTTAGTTCTCTGTCCATGGCTTCACGCCATTTCTCCCTGTGTTCCCCCCCCAGAGCCTGCTGAACCGTCGCAGGCTCCTTAGGAAGCGCGTTGCCGTGCACTGCGGTGACGAGGCCGAGGATTTGCAGCCCAGTCTGTGAGTATCGGGGGAGTGTTGGATCCTCGGGATAAGCTGCTTCGTCTCCCGCTTCTGGATCGGGTATGAAATTTGGCCCTATCCGTTCTGCTTCATTTGTGTTGACTGTCGCAGGTGTTACGTAACCGTTGTCGGCGAAGTGATAGAAGAATTCGGCGTTGGCACTGTCGCGAGGATTTTCTTCGTCCATTGGCACGTTGACGGAGCAGTACGGGAGAGGTCCGGCTTCTTCCGATGTGTTGTCGACGTTCTGTTCATCCCAGTTTGCTTCGTCCGCTGCTGAGGCGAAGGCTCGGTCACCACGAAAGCCACTTGTGGGGTTTTGATTCTCGTGCAAGTTGGCGAGGTACGTTTGAAGGGTGAGTCGCTCGTAGAAGATCACATCACGTGCTGCTACTGTTTCCTTTGAGTGGACGTCGAAGATTTTCCACGCGTTGTACTTTTTCTCGATGCCGAGGTGTAGTCCCCACTGTGCCCGTTGTGAAAATCTTCCCGCTCGTGCTTCTGGGGGTCGGTACTGTACCATGCACCCGAAAACTCGTAACATTTTTGTGCTGCCCTGCTTCCTTGTCCACAGCAGGTGCGGTGATGCGTTGTTCGGGAGTGACGACGACGAGAGCAAGTTGTGCAGCATGACAGCATGGTCCATTGCTGCAGGCCACTGGTGGTTGGGTAGCCGCATGCCACGTAGCAGTTTGCGCATGCTGTTCTGCAGAGTCCTGTTCATTCTTTCTGCGACACCTTGCTGCTGATGTGCGTAGGGAAGGGAGAGGGGTTGCTTGATTCCCCTTTCCGCCAGGTACTGCTTGAAGCGCTGAGAGGTGTACTCTCCTCCTCCGTCTGACTGAAAGCTTTTCAATTGTGTTCCTTATTCCCTCTCTGCTACCGGTAGCCAAGCGGCGAACGCTGCGAGAGCCATGTCGCGGCTGGGTAGGTTTCGATGCCAGACGTATCGAGTGGCGGCGTCGATGAAGGTTATCGTGTAATTGTAGGTAACTTGTCCTGGTTCTCGATTGAAGAGGATGTCGCTGTATACTTTCTCGAGTTGTGCGTATGTAGGTGCGCTTGGGTTGTGGTGAGAAGAAAACGGTCGATGGGGTAAGTCGGCTTCGGGGCAGATAAGGCAAGTTCCTCGTGCACGTTGAAGTTCTCTGCCGTCGGGTAGTAGTAGCGAGTCCTTGTCTAGAACTCCTGCTCGAATTGTGTTATTTAACACTGTGTTGCTTGGATGTCTTGTGCGTGCGTGCCAGATGTCTTCAGGAGCGCGGTGTCCGGGTGAGCGTTGATACGCGTCGGAGTTGAAGTAGAAGCTGGCGACGAAGTGTGCGCTTCTGTGGACTTCTCGTTGAGTCGGGTTCAGCTGCTGTGCGGGTGTTGGTGGTGCTTCGTCGACGGAGATTGGTATCGTTGGTCCTGCTGCTGCCGATGATGTTGCTGCTGCTGATGTTGTTTCTGCTGCTGCCGATGTTGTCTCTGCTGCTGCCGATTGTTGAATCGTTGCTAATGCGCGTGTTCGTTCTGCTTCAGGTATGGTGTGCGAGTACCAGAAGCCTCCCGGGCTGAAGTCGGGATCGAGATCCGGGGGATGTGTCCAATCGGCGAAGTTGACGATGGCGTCGCTATCTGCAGTGCCCAGGTCGGGGACGAAATCGAGGACGAAGACATTGTTCTTCAACACCGCCCTTCCGATGTAGAGGCCGCCCTTCCCGTGGTACAACTTGAACTCCTGTGTATTGCTGTCGGCTTCCAAGTGAATACCTTTCGCCATCAACTGGCTGACACTCAGTAAGTTATAGCCGAGTCCCTCCGCGATGAGTACCTTTGACATGTGTAATATGACATTTGTTTCTCGTGACTGAAGCTGTACCACTCCTTGTCGTCGTGTGCGCAGGTTGTGATTGTTGGCGACCGTGATGACTACTTCTCGCTGGAGTCGATGCTCGCGTTGAACGAAGCGCCCGGAGGAGCACATATGTTGTCCGCAGCAACTGTCCAAGAACCAAGTGTCTTGGCCGGACGTTTCGCTTTGAGCAATGGCGGCGTATGTCGGATTCGGTTGGAGTGACTCGCGGCGAGGCGTCCTGTTATCAAGCTCTTCTTCCGGTGAGTAGTGGGGTGGTGATTCTGTTGTGCAGGAATCGGTTATCTTTACCATGCAATTGACAATATTTCTTGCTCCTTGTGCAGGTTGTCCAGTTGAAGTCGTTGAAGCTTGGATTGTGGTCGTCGGATTTGCTTGCGTTGAAGCAACTTGGGAACTTGAAGGCCGGAGTTGTCGCTGTGGTGTCGTCGACTGCTGACGGGACGGGCAGTGTGTGCGAGGATGACCCGAGGTCTTGCAGATGTGACAGAACGGAGGTACCGTCTTCACTTGTTGCTGTTGTCGATTGTTGTTGCCGTTGTATCGTCGCTGAGTGTGAAACGCAAACTCCGGTGCTAATGTTTTCTTCTTGTGTCTTTCTTCTTGCAGGTCCATGTCCTGCTGCTCGGCGTGGATTTCGGCGCAGAGTGCCGCTTCGGAGATCCTCCCGTGTGCTCGTAATATGGCGCGAGTGGAGCGCCAGTGGGGGCCGAGACCGCCGATGACCACCGTGACAAAGGCGTCTTCTGAAATTGACCCTCCGCATCGAAGAAGCTTGTCGCGCAGTTCGCGGCAGCCGCTGATATAAGCCATGCCTTTCTCGCCTGGTTTCATTTCAATCGTTGTCAGCTGCGCCATTAACCTGCTTTGATTTACGCTGTCTGTTGCTTGATACAGGTTCTTCAGGTGGTTGTACGCGAGCTCCGCGGAGTTGCCGTAGCCTCGGTAGGTTCTGATGTTCTGCTGCTGGGTCGGGGTGATGTTTCTTAGCAGTATCGTGTACGCCATCATTGATTGATAGGTGTACTGCTGCTTCTTATATTGTGTCCCGTTTGTTGGATATGGCAGGGACCCGTCGAAGAAGCCGAGAATCAGTGCTCCTTCCATCATCAATTCGAACTCGAACGACCAGGTGAAGAAGTCTTTGCCGTCGAAAGGCTTTGTCGTTTGCAGCTTTAGGACGTGCGCGAATTGCGACTGGACTTGTAATGCGTCCAATGCCCTTTCTTGTCCTGGTGCAGATTGCGGTTGCGGCATGAAGCTGACGGAGCCACGCTGGGGTTCGTACGGTGCAAAGGTAGGCTGTTCTTGTTGTTGTTGAATCCCGCGTGCGTAGGATGAGCCGTCGAGACTCATAGGAGTCACGTTGTTGTTGTTGCTGTTGTTTGACTGCGCAGGTACTCCTTGCTGGTGCTGCTCGTAGAAGGACATGAAGGAGAAAAATTTCTCCATCATGCTTGGATCGAAGCCTGCGGGTGTTTCCGTGTACCCAACTGCTGGTCTCGTGGTAGTCCCTTCCTCTGTCTGTAGGCCAGAGACAGGAGGTGGAGTAGGAGTAGTGCCTGGAGAACCGTTGGAGGAGCTTCTCTCCTTCCTAGTAGACATGTCTTATTGTATTTTGTAAAAGGAGGAATAACTTTTAAGCTCTAACTGCTCTCATACCATGTTGGGCTGAGGTGCCCTAGGATCTTTGTAGAGTTAAAGTTTGAGTAGGATGATGTAATAGCGGAAGCGTTGAATAAGAAAGCCTTGAACCACCTTGCGCTGGTATGTGAGGGCAAAGTAAGTTGATTAAAACAGGCAAATACAAAGCTTTATATAAGAGTACAAGGAATACGAATAGATGTAATTAAACTACCTTGCTGTTGCGATTCGATACAGTGCGACTCGGGCAACTGCTCAATGTCGAGTCAGTTGTGTGTCCTTGCTGTCGCGCTGTATTGGTCAAGTCAAAGGTCGCTGACCTTTGACCTTCCCGTAACCTTCAGGCGGTTACCCTAACCTCCGAGGGTTGACTCGCGATGCTTCGATTTGGACTTCTTCGCTTTGTGTCCTGAGTTTCGACACGACAGAGGCGCTTAAGACTTATTGTTCCCAACATAAAAGACCTGATATGATGATGTACGTCTGAGGGATAAGGTAGGTATGTATGTATGTTGAGTAATTCAGAATACTGGTATAACTAAACTTCATTAATATTGTTAGGATGAGTGCTAGTGAATTTGAAAGTGGTCTCTACTACTAGCAGCACCCTTTCGACTCTGACCTTGCCACGTTATTTCCCACCCAGCAATCCCGCGTTTGCGCGGCAGCCTCTTCGCGCTCGAACCAGTGACGGGGTTTCGTCAGCATCACTCGCACCGCCATGCACGAACTTCGCTGTGTAGAGAGCAATGTGCAGTCAATTCGCGGTTCGTAACCGCGGCTCGAAATGTTGAACCAGCAGGAAACGGGAAATGGAATGGACGAATGACGGGAGAACTTCGCTCAATTCCGAGGAAGCGCAGTTTGATTTATTTTTGCCACGTGGCGAGCCTATGATCGCGTGAGCCGCGATCTGTTTTATTGTTATCACAAACTTCAAGAGAAATTTAGTTAAGTTATGTACTGCGCTGCCCTCGGGCAAAAATAAAACCCCTATAGGTAAGGTATGCCTTACCTATAGGCAAGGCGTTTAGGGTTGATGCCTCTCTAATGCATGCCAGGCCCGAATGGGTTTTATTTTTGCCCGTGGGCAGCACAGTACAGAACTTAACTAAATTTCTCTTGAAGTTTGTGATAACAATATAGCAGATCGTGGTTCACGCGTTCGAAGGCATTCCACGTGGCAATAATAAAATGAACCACGAGTTCACGGAATTTAGCAAAACTCTCGAATGACGGAGTTCAGGCAAGCACAGTTTTTTGTCACCTGCCTGCAATCCCATTCCGCCACTCACCACAATGGTGAAGAAAGCATGGCGAAAGCAAGTCCATTCGAAAGCTGCAGCCCTTCTACCGACCAACACAGGATTGCAAGTCTGCACGAACCACCCCAGCCCGGTTGAGCTGGCTCCGCCATCCCGCACTAAACTCACTGATCCTTCCGCTGCTACGAAAAACTCAATCCTGTGGACACCTTAGCTCCTTTTGTTGGTCAATCTTGGTATCGACGAACCTCATTCGGAAATTCGTGCCCGATAACAACACTCCCGACTAGAGCCCCAAGTCTCGACCTTCGGCCCCACATCCCTTCCCAACCCGATCCGCGACTTGTTTTGAGGCGCCGCATTCCACGCTAGGGTTGAATTTGGCCCTCGCCCCCCCGCCGTTGTCGGCGTTTTTTTTTAACCACAGCCACCAGTTTCTCATGTCGCCGCTGCGGGTGCGGCATCGAGCTTAGTCAAGGCCCTAAATCACTCAACCCTCAAGCAGCCTTGCGCGACACTAGTGGGATACCAAAAGCCGATCCGAGCACTGAGGAACCCGAATTGATCACTCTGACCTACACTTGGAATCTAAACCATCTAAACCCTAGTTTCAATACAGTCGTTGCTCCAGCAACCATCCCGGTCGCTCCATTCAGGACTTAGGAGCCGTCCAGACCACTCAGCGAATGTGATTCGCCATACCCGCTAGATTCCCTCGACGCTGCTAGCGGCGTCCCGCCCCTATCGCCTGGTCTGTTCGCTTTACAGGAGGCATGCTCTTTCAGCAGCCTTCACAGGGATAACAGAAGCTTTTCTCTGCTGGAAAGCTGGTAGACCTGTTCGGGAAAACCCACAGTTTGGATCTGTGTCTAATCAGTCGCGCATACGGTCGATTATGGGAGCTTATACCGACCACCGAAAGATTGCACTAGCGCGGACGAAACGGGGTTACTCAGTAACGATGTCCACGATCATCGCCGTCATCACTGTCGTGGGAGTGTTCGCGCAGCTCGACGTTGCAGGAGCAGCAGTAACGCCTCAAGGTCAGTCATCGTTGACACGTCATCGTCAGCATTGAATGGGGTGACGTATCGACTCAAGGTCACCTTGTTCGCGCGGCTCGCCGTTCCGGGAGCAGCACTAGCGCCTCAAGGTTAGCCAGTCCTCAACACGTCATCCCAAGTCATCATCACTGCAGAAAATGTAGTTAGTACGTGAGAAGAGTTACGCATTTCGAAGACTGATGCCGTGCTTGCACAACTCATCCCTCTCGCACAACGCACTCCCAATTCCAAGATTCTTCCGCTTCCCCCGAACCCCGCCTCACTCGCGCCAACTCCGCCATCCCTTTCCCCCTCCAGTCCGGAACGCGAAATGCGACTTCACGACCGGGGAGTGGCGGAAGGGGACCAAAGGATTTCCGCGGTACACGTCGCTTCCGGGAAAGCCCAACTCTTGCCCTTATGTGCGGTCTGATTTCGCGTGCGAGCGCAACGGGCGCGCGGACATGCGGTTTCAGTGGTACCGCTGGCAGCCCAAGCAGTGCATGTACTCATACTTCAGCCCCTCGGGCTTTAAGTACATGCTCAAGCAGAAGGTACGCAGCGGGAATCTACGACATAGTGTTTGTTTATTTAGGATTTTCTTTTTTAGCACTGTTTTCTGTTCACCGCTGCGCACCTCTCACACCCCTCACTTCCCCTCCTCTTCCCCCCCACCTCTCCCCTCCTCCTCCACCCCCGCCACCCCCACCCCCATTCTCCCTCTTCCCCTGATACCTTCCCCTCTTCGCTGCTGGTTCGATGTCCAAATTCACACCGCCACTCCCCCCCTTTTCCCCTGCCGTTTCCTCGCTTCCGTTTCCCCCTTTCCTTCCCTCCGTTTTCCCCATCCCTTCCCCATTTCTTCGCGCCGCTGCGCACCTCCCACACTCCATTTCCCCTCCCTCTCCCGGCTGTCCCTCCTTGTCCGTCTTTCGCGGCGCAGAAAGTGTTGCTGGTGGGCGACTCGATGATGTCCAACTTTTACGAGGCGCTGCGCTCCTCCCACACCCGCACTACCCCCCCCCATTCCCCCGCTGTCCCCCCTTTTCCCCTGCTCTCCCCCCGTCTCCGTCGCGATTGGTGCAGAAAGTGCTGCTGGTGGGCGACTCGATGATGTCCAATTTTTACGAAGCGCTCCTCTGCGCCATCCACATCGGCGGCTTCAAGGGCGAGGTGAGCCATTCGGATATCCCCCTTCTTATGCCCCTTCCTCTCCCCCTTCCTCTCTTATCTATCTAGACTTCGCAGGCGTTCACTCCAATCCCTCACCCCCCCATTTCCCCCAATTCCCCCACTCTCCTCCCCTCTCCGCTGGCACCTCGCTCCGCCAACCCACCTCCACTCTTTCCCCGGCCGTACCAGCGCAACACGGCGGGCGTGTTCATCGTTAAAGGCGTCCACTTTCCCCGCATGGGCGTTTCTTTCCATCGAGCACCTCAATTCTGGAAAGTGACTCAGATTTACCCTACTTTGCTTCCCAACCTCCCCTTTCTCATCCCCAGCCCTACCAGCGCAACACGGGGGGCGTGTTCAATGTTAAAGGCGTGCGCTTTCCCCGCATGGGCATTTCCATCGAGCACCTCTTCTCGCCCTACCTCGTCTACGCGATCACGCGCGGCGCCCAGACCGCGAACGCGAAGGGCGGCCACGGCTACGACGTCCACGTGGACAAGATCCATCCGACGGTCGCGAAGATCCTTCCGGAATACGCCATGGCGGTCTTCGCGTCGGGAGTTTGGTGGCAGCAGAACGTCCCGCGTCGCAAGCAGCCCAACGTCTTCTTCGTGAATAACTCCCCGAAGAACCTCTCGAATCTCGACGCGCACGCGTGGGCTCTCAACACGCTCAGCTCTTATTTGAAAACTTCCAACTACGGTGGCGTGCCGTATTTTATTTCGTTCTCGCCCCACCACAGCGGCATGGGCAACCCGCAAAACGGAGTGTATCAGGGCACTTCTGCTGGGGGAAAACCCGCCTGGGTTGGCGCATGCGGGGCGGTGAAACCCATGTCCGAACAGTTGGCGATAAAGGATTACTCGTTATCGCTCCCGACGTCCGAAGCGTACATGACAACTCAGAAAACAGCACTGATGGGTTCGACTCTACGGTTCCTCCAGGTTACCAGCCTGAGCGCGATGCGACCTGATGCGCATCAGGGACCTTGGTTCAAGAGGAGGCCTTCGTCTGGTCCTGGTTCGCCAGCTGGCAACGGCGAGTCTCCGTTTTCAGGGGACTGCACGCATTGGTGCTTGCCAGGTGTGCCAGACGCGTGGGTGGATATGATGTATGCGAACATGCTTCGCGAACCATCATTGGCAGGAAAGAAGTTTTAGATTAGATACCTAGGTTATGAATTGGCAGGGTAGAATGCCCATACCTCTACGCTGGACTATTCTCCGTCTCTTGGCGCTTTTGCCCACCTGCATTGAGATATTTGTGTTAAGAATAGTGAAATACTATTGTGCACTCCTAAACCGCAGCTAAAGAAAGCACGCAGTAACGAGAATGAATGCGAGGAGTCAGAGTTGACTCGAAGCGACATACCGTATGTTAGAGTATAAAGGGAATTGCACTTAGCATTCCCGCAGGTGCAACAGTATCGCATCAATCTCTATCGAAGCAACGCTAGCAACAATATCGGATCAGCTCGTACCAAGGGCAGGAAGGTCAACAGTCGCAAAAGTCAACTGTCGCGACTGTTGACCATCTGAACCGACGCTTGACTCACCATCGAAGAATGGCAACAGACGTAACCGTATATACAGGTTACATGCAGCGACTGGGTAACAAGAAAGAAGTGCAATAGTCAGAGTCACTGTAGAGATACCTGTAAAGTAGTTATAATAAGGGAATGTACCCCTTAGAGTACATGGCTAGTTACCGTCATCACCCTGATATAAGACATATATGTCTTTTCTCATACACTAAAAAAAATGCTTGAGTTATCTTGTATTTGGGGAGGTTTTGGGTGTCTTATAATTCTTATAAATAGAAACTTTTTTAAACTACTTAGAAATATTTTCATGCATCTTGAAAATAGTTTCTCATTCAGAGTGTCAATGTTGCGAAGGTGCCACTTCGGCAACCATTGTTCGGGACACCACGTCATCCCGAATATTTGCAGAGTCAAATTCGGTAGTATGTGAGTCAGCACATGGCAGAATTCGCGTGTCGCGGTATTTGTACGCGGTATTTCAATTTTCACTATAATACATTGCAGTTTCGATTATAAGACACATATGTCTTATCTCGTATACACAAATAGGTGTCGTATAAAAAGGCTAACCTATTTATAAAAGGCACCCGTATAATAGACAACCCCTGTCTACTGTTCAACACTTTCTTATATCCGGGCGATGACGGTAAGACTAATTATATACTTTGTATTATATCTTTGAACCAACTTGGTCATCTACATTCACTATGATCTGAGTTTTTACAACAAGACTTCCGCTACCAACCTCTTCCAAAGCATTCCTATCCTATCCAAGATCCTCACTCCAACATGGTTGTTACAATAGTAGCTAAGGCTAAGAAGCCATGGCTAGGTTTTAGGGTACACGAAAGAGAAATGGAAGAAAGGGTTGCACTAGCAAGCAGTTGAGTACATATAGGAAACCCTAAATTGGGTTGTACTCGCTATAGAGTACCCCACTGCAGGCTAGACAAATACAACATTCTGACACACCCCCATAGCCAAAGTGGGGTGTAATCTGTACAACAAGCAGGAGTTTATAGTTCACAAATATAAGCAAAGCTAGAGGCTATCACAGAGGGCTAGAGAGGAGGAGGAGGGACTGTGGGGGCAAGAAGATGGGAGGCGACAGCTGAAACTGCAGACACACGGGCGACAGGAGCGGCCGGCACAGTGGCTACCGAGAGCACGACGGCTCCGAACTACAGGAGTAACTGGCTCCGCGGCTACGACGAGCGGCAGGAGCAACGGACCCACGGGCGACAGGCACAGCAGGCTTGCTAGGCTACCGAGAGCAAGACAGGCTCCGGACTACTGGCGCTGCGGACGACAAGACGGCAATCTCCGCTCAACCTCCCCCAACTGTCCGACCACCCTTTTTCACACCCCCTGCTATACCTCTAGCACTGCACACACGCCACCCCCCTCGTACCACTCCGACGGCTCCAACACACCCCCCTCAGCGGCAGCTGCAGCAGTGGGAGACGGAGGAGGAGGAGCAGGGGACGGCTCACACACCCGCCACCCCCATACCCGTCACCCCCATACCCTGAGTGTGCGGTAAGCGAGCTCAGGTGTGTGTGAAGCGTGCACAAGTGCGCGGGAAGTGAACTCGGGTGTGCGGTAAGCGAACTCAGGTGTGCGGGGAGGGGGGGCCGCAGGACGACGCGCGAGTACACGGGAGCGGCGCAACGGGATCGCGGGGGGCGTGCGCGGGTCCCCAGGGGCGACGCGACGATCGACGGGTGGGACGCGCGGTTCTCCGGGGGCGGCGCGACGGGCGACAGGGAGGGACGCGGGGGTCCCTGGGGTGACGCGGGCAGAAAACCGCCGCATGCCACGGGGCGCGCGACGGGCAGGGCAGGACGTCGCGCGGCCAGTAGGGTGGCGCGACGGGCAGGGCAGAGCCACGACGGGCAGAAAACCGCCGCGCGTCCCGAGCGCGCGGCGGGAAGAAAAAACCGCCGCACGCGACGAGCGCGCGGCAAGCAGAAATGTCAGAATCAGCAGTAAAAAGTAAGAATGAAGAAAGAGGGGGTTCACTAGCAAGCAGTTGGATACAAATAGCAAACCCTAACTGGGTTGTACTCGCTATGGAGCACCCCACTGCAGGCTAGATAACATAACATTCTGACACACCCCCATAGCCAAAGTGGGGTGTAATCAGCACAGTAAGCAAAGCAGAACAAGCTCAGGGTGGATCACAATGTCACCACACATTTTGAGCACAATTACAAGAAGCAACAGTTTAAAGTTCACACTTATGAGCAAAGCTAGTGGTAGTCACAGCGGGCAAGTGAGGAGGAGGAGGGACTGTGAGAGGAGAGAAGATGGGAGACGACGGCTGAAGCTGCAGACACACGGGCTACAGGAGCGGCTGGCACAGTGGCTACTGGGACAGCGCCCCGGACTACTGGAGTAACTGGCTCACGGGCTACGACGAGCTACAGGAGCAACGGACCCACGGGCGACAGGCGCAGCAGGCTCTCTGAGCTACCAGGACAGCGCCCCGGACTACAGGTGCTGCGGACGACAAGACGGCAGCCTCCTCTCAGCCTCCCCAAGCAGTCCCACACCCCCCCACACACACCCCCAGTTTCACCCCTAGCTCCACTCCCAAGGCACCCTCCTTAAACCCTAAACCCCAGTCTCTCACTCATCCACCCCCCTCAGCGACAGCTGCAGGAGTGGGAGACGAAGTAGGAGGAGGAGAAGGGGACGGCGCGCACAACCGAAACCGCCACAAGCACCACCCCCACACCCCTCACCCCCAAAACCCTAAAACGGGTGGGATAGGGGCAGGAGCGCGGGGGACAGCGAGGGGAGGGACGGCTCACGACCCCCAGGGTGCCAAAACGGACGGGCGGGGCAGAGGGGTGGCGCGCGCGGCTCCCCAGGGCGCCGCGTCGGACGGGCATGGGGCACGCGCGGCTCCCCAGGGCGCCGCGACGAAAGGGCAAGGGGCGGGCGCGGCTCCCCAGGGCGCCGCGACGAAAGGGCAGGGTGCGGGCGCGGCTCCCCAGGGCGCCGCGACGGACAAGCAGGGGGCGCATGCGGCTCCCCAGGGCGCATGAAGCTCCCCAGGGCGCATGCAGCTCCCCAGGGCGCCGCGACGAGCAGGGCGGGGCCGCGTGTGCACCCCAGAGCGCCGCGACGAGCTGGGCGGGGGGTCGCGCGCGACTCCTCAGGGCGCCGCGACGGACGGGAGGGGGCAGCGCGCGGCTCGCAAGGGGGCGCCAGGAAGAAGAAAGGGCCGCGCGCCCCCCCGGGCGCGCGCCACACAGGAAAACCGCCGCGCACAGCAGACGCGCGGCGGGAAGAAAAAATTTCGAGCATGGGGATCGACCTGCTCTGATAGCATGTCAGAATCAGCAGTAAAAAGTAAGAATGAAGAAAGAGGGGGTTCACTAGCAAGCAGTTAGATACAAATAGCAAACCCTAACTGGGTTGTACTTGCTATGGAGCACCCCACTGCAGGCTAGATAACATAACATTCTGACAAGAAAACGTCGCGCGCCCGGGGCGCGCGACAGGCAGTACAGCAGCGGAAGCATTAGGTGGGCCCATCCACAGGATCGACCAAGGAGGGTGGACCTGCTCTGAAACCATGTTACAATAGTAGCTAAGGCTAAGAAGCCATGGCTAGGTTTTAGGGTACACGAAAGAGAAATGGAAGAAGGGGTTGCACTAGCAAGCAGTTGAGTACATATAGGAAACCCTAAATTGGGCTGTACTCGCTATAGAGTACCCCATTGCAGGCTAGACGAATACAACATTCTGACAATGGTATGAGAGCCAGTTTGGATTATAGGATCTGCAAAAAGGGCTTCCAACAAAAGCTTCTTTATAAATAAATCGCAATATCAACAACATCAAGGGCATCAACATGCCAAGCGCAGACTGCGGAGAGGCTGGAGAAAATCCAGTGCAACCCTCCAACAATGTCGCCTCTACCACGACGACTGTGGACACAGTGCTCCTCGAGCAGCTGATCTCCCACATCAGCGCACTAGAGAGCCATCAGCCGATGAGCATTGACGGCTCCAGCTACGCCCGCAAACCTCCCGATCCTCAAGGAGCTGGATCTGAGCGATCTTTCACCTTTGACAACTGCGGAGCTCAAGGATCTTCTCAAGCACAACAAACACATTACGAGGCTATGGCATCAATGCAGAGCAAGTTCCTTTCAACATCGAAGCTGAGGACAACCAAGCCCTTCGACGGGCAAGACTTCTATACCTGGAGCTTTGAATCCGAGCCACTAGCTCAGGGCGCTCAAATCTGGATGTATTACGACGGTTCGTATCCCTTCCCAACCAACGGCTCACCTCAAGAGAAAACGCAGTACTACAACGAATCACTCCTGGCCTTCACCGTCCTGATCCGGAACCTGTCGCCCGAAGAACAGCTGAGTATTCGCCCCTTCAAAAACGAGTAGCAATCCTGGGAACACCTGCGCACTTGCCACATGGCAACAGATTCGTGTTGCCTGCTCAACCAGCTGAACAACGTCAAGATGTTTCCCAGCGAAAGGCCGGACCATACATCAAGCGCTGCAGGAACCTGAGAGACCAATTCAGGAAAAGCGGCGGCAACTTCCCTGACGACATGTTCGTCACTATCATCCTCGCTGGATTG